TATTAACAAAGACCCACAGGAGAGCCCACATTACACCTGGTTTAGCCTCTCTGCACTGGCTCCCTGTGCATTTGAGGAGTCATTTTAAAATTTTGGTTTTAACTTTCAGAGCACTTCATGGTCAGACCCCCAAATACATGCTGGACCTTCTGAAGCCTCTGTGTCCATCCAGGACTTTGAGGTCTTCTAATCCAGGGGTTCTTAACCTTTTTGATCTCGGGGCCCAGTTTGTTGGACATAAAGTGTCACGAGGCCCAGTCAGATATTACCAATGTATGGATCAAAATGATAATTATTCTAAATCTTGGTTTAATTTTTATTGTATTTACATCATAACTAAACTGTCAAAACTAACATAACTAAATTAAATACACTTACAGTTTAAAAGTAAAACCCCTGTTAAATAATCACAAGACATGATTATGACAAACATTTTTATGTTGTAACCTGCCCATAACAATTATTTGAACAAATACAAAGGTCAGTCAACAGACCACTCAGGCTTATCAACACAAATTAACACAAGTTCTTTAAAATCCACAGTTATTCATTTGTGTAACCCCAGAAAACAGAAGGGTTTTCTACATTTCCTTACAGGCTTGCACTAGAATCCGKTGCTTTTGATGTAACAGAAGAAAACATGATTAAAAATGTATAACTCTTGGGCTACTTGGCTTCACCTGGCAACCTGAGACCTTGCCTTGACCACGAGGCTCGCAGCATGCCACCTCGCTTCTGACACCACTCAAACAGAATTTCATCTTTAACATAAATGCCTAATGGAGCTGCAATCGCTTTAGTAGATGGTATTGTTTCCAGCGTCGGTTGGATATATTCTATTTTGAGTTTTGGGCCTCTGCTCTGGGAAAGCATCGTTCTTGTTGTCTGTTTTTTTGTAAAGTTGCACAGTGAATGTGTCCAGTCGTGTGACTTATTTCTTTAATTATCTGAGCCAGCAGCTGTAAGTGGTCGCATGGTGGATCTTATTAGCTGTTAATGTCTCTGAACATTTCTGCACAACATGTACAGAGAGGGATCTGAAGATAAAAGGCAGMAAGGGAATCAGCACAATGGATAACAACCAAAAGAGGAATCTAACTTTTCTCACCATTGGATTAATTTTTATGCTGAGCGGCATAGAGTACGGTAAGTTCATGACATCATCTTTTCAGAYGTGTAGTTCTATTTGTTGCAACGTAACCACCCTCTGATAGTTTCTTTGTGTTTCAGCCGTCATACTGCCGACAATCTGGAGGTACCTGCAAATTTTGGAGGCTCCGCCTTACTTTCTGGGTTTGGGTCTGTCTGCCTTCAGCCTGAGCGGGCTGCTCACAGGTCCACTGTTCGGGTTGTGGTCTGATCGAAGCAAAACTACGAAATCCATCATACTTTTCTCTAACCTCTTCGAGATTGCTGGTCAGTAGTTAAAACAGACCGACAAATCACACAAATGAAGTTCTTTCAACGATATTGTTTTGCATGTTACATGTTACATGTGTTTAGTTTTGTTTCAAAATTTGGGACTGTCCTATAGGGTCTCTTCCCAGTGGCACATGTTTAAAGGGATCCACAATTACTTGCAACATTAGACTTTATTTGATTAAAATATATTTTTACTGCAAAATATARTCTGTAAAAATACTGTAGGCTGTTTAGTTTTGTAAAGGTTTAAATATGTAACATGGACGGAGCAATTTTATTTACACGCAAAGCATTCTGGGTAAACGATGACGTGGATAGGTCCTCGGTGCGAGGCTGCTAGCGAGCTATATCCACCCTGAAGGTTAATCTTGGACAATATCTGATGATCGACTCTTTTAAATGAAACCAGAGAGCGTTGACAGAGAGGAGAAGGYAGAAATGACTCAGCCTGGAACTGAAAATATGGATGGAGGACAACAGAGCTGCTTCATGGAAGAAGAACCTCAGCTTGATGCAGAGGAGCAGCAGATCTCCTCTGAGCCCCCCCTCAGATGATGGAGTTCACCCTATTTCTATGGCTGAGTCCAGCCACCTTACAGGAAGCTCATTTTAGTTGCTTGAATGCAGGATCTGGGGTCGGATTTATAAAACTTGAGTACGCACAAAACGAGCCCAGAAACTTGTGTACGCACAAAACAAGCCCAGAAACTTGCGTACGCACAAAACGAGCCCAGAAACTTGTGTACGCCACTTTTCATGCCAAGGTTGTGATTCATAAAATCCAAACTTGAATTGAAAATGTGCGGTGCCTCACGCCAGCTCTGACCCATGCGTACGCTCATTTTAGAGACGGGAAACTGCAACACAGATGGTKAAATGAAGAATTGAAGCCACACTGTGTAATGATCACTGTCAGTGATTTACCGATATTGATATTTACCTTCATAATAAGACTTAGATTTTTATTCAACTTTATCATCAGCTTTTTTAATAGTTTTATTTTTGCTTCTGCTGCTGAGTCATGAGGACCTTTGAAATAAAAAACTTAAATCTTAAATAAAAGTTCACACATCCATTCATCTCCTTCCTCCTCATGACCCTGACCCACAGACCGCTCCCCGACAAGAGACATTTCAACAGCACGACAGCAAAAAGCTCAGTTAGTCACGCTTTGGGTGCACGCGCCCTCGCCAGTGTGGATGTGTTATAAAAGATTCACTTTTTAATGTCCGTATTTCTCGCGCATGCGGGGTGGGGATGGGGGGGTCAGCTGCAGATAACAGCAGGCAGGAGGGGGAGGACAGGGGAGAAGAGCGGTGAACTTAACTTTATCTGACTTATTTTATTTTATTTATTGTTTTCATCRTCCTGCAGGCTCTGAGATAAAATTAATTTGAAGCTGAGTTTTTGAAATAAATCATTAGATTACTCTAAACGTCTGTAAACCTGCAAAATGAGGGAAAATCTGTCAATTACAGACATTCTGTTCACGTGAGCAGCTGCAGTCAGCACCTGTCATCCTCCAGACGCACGACGGAGCGTGTCTGAACCAATCACTTTTTTTTACACTGATCAGCTGACTGATTTAAATACATCTTAACATTCATGAGGTACTTTRCATTGACTGTTTATGGTTGAGTGTGGGCGTGTAGAGGGTAGAACCTGAGGCGGGACCTTGTGCACAAACTCTGAGGTGCGGCTGTGATCTATAAAGGAAAGGTGCGCAGAAACGTGTACGCGCGGATTTATAAATCTGAATTTTTTTTTTGGCGTTCGCCATTTTTGCTTTTTGACCATACGTTCACTTTTAGTATGGTTTCCACGCAATCTTTTATAAATCTGACCCCTGGTCATTAGTTATGATCCAAACCTCATGATCATATAGGAGATGGTAAAGTAGATGGACCAGTAACTACAGAGCTGTTGACTGAAATCTGTCTTCGCCTTGACGGACTGAGGCCCCAATCTGTCAATCCATTTCCTGCTCTGTCTTACCATCACTCGGAAACAAGACAACCAGATATTGGACTCCACCACCTGAGGCAAAGATTTGTAGCCAAAGTTATACCAGAGCACAGATAATGGAGTGGAGAAGAAGAAGAAACCGTGTGAAGAAACCCATGCTGTGACATGTACAAACCTCCCACCATGTTAAATAGTTGGCTGCAAATAGATCATGCCGAGCCCTTCAGAGCAGGGGTTCTCAAGTCATTTGGGTCTGAGAACCCCTTACAAGGGTGAAAAAATTCCAGGGACTCCCTTGTAATTTATTGTCATTTCAACCCTAAATGCCATTGGAATCTATATTTTTATTAAGTTTATTATGTTTGTTTTATCAGTTCATTTGTCACCATGCATTTTTAAAAATAAAACCCAAATTAACAATGTAGTGAAATTTTTTGAGGACCCCCAAGATACCTCTCACGGACCCCTGGGGGTCCTGGGACCCCAGTTAGAGAACMTCTGCTTTAGAGCAGCTGACCATCCCAGCTGCTTCACACTCAGCTCTGAATGTCCACAGTGGACACTGAAAGTCTTGGTCCGAAAACACCAACAGAACCACACAATCYGGATAAAACAGAGTTAAGACCCTAAAGTTCCCAAAACYAGACACCCTYCTCTCCACGACAGGATCGGAGACAAGGGACAGTCCTGATGGTCTAACCTGCTCKGAGGACGAGCTCGACTTTGTGCCAAGAGGTCTGAGTTATTTTTAAGGCAGTGTATTGGACACAGTTCACGTTGGTTCTCTGGGACACTGTGGCCTTGGCTAACCAACATTTATCATCACAATACATCATTTTTCTTATCATTAAAACACTGRTTTATGGCATTCTGTTTGATCACAAAGTATGATGTGTGTTGGCATTTGAAGCTAATATGAAAGAACAAACATTTCTTCATTTTGAACATTTGTCACACCAGCGTTATTCTATTTCTTTTCTTCCTTGTCCTCAGGTAATTTCATGTATTTTATTGGATATTCAAAGTGGCTGTTATTATCCAGTCGGCTTGTTGCAGGTGAAACACTCACCCACACACACACACACGTTTGTATTTCTGTCTTTATTTCATGTGTTGATTTCTGTCATTTATGTAGCCAGACTCTTAAAACAGCCCTCCACTGTTTAAGAACTGGGCTAAAATTTCACTTTTCTCATTCATGTTTATTAAACTTTTAGTTTAAGATAAGATAGACCTTTATTGTCATTGTACAGAGCACAATAAAATTACAGTTCAGAACACCCATTCACACAGATGCAACACAGTTTCCCACAGTTTAAGATAAATATCAAACACATTCTTCCCATTTAGAATAAACACGATGGATCTTTAAATTAGAGGATTTAATTGAACAAAAGACTATTATTTTTATTTTTATGTWAAAATATCAAATATTAAAGCTAAATGTATCATAAGGCTAACTTAAAGCTAAACATAGCAAAAGGTACGTGTAGAAGATATAATTGTTAAAATACTAGTTTAAAATATCAAAGGGCTACTTCATGTCTAATGTAAAAAAAAGCTGGCAACAAGCTAAAAGAAACAAAAAGTCCAAAAWAAMAAAMAAAAAAAAAAAAAACAAGCTAAAAGTGGCAGAACAGTAGCTAAAAGTAGATAAGAGTAAAGCTAGAGACGAAGCAAATTTCCAAATGAAAGTATGAMAGGGTCTAAAGAGATCTTGATGAATTTTTATGAGAACAATTTTTGTTAATAAAGTTAAATATTTAAAGGAGACCAATTATGGGTCCTAGAAATTTTTATGTTATGTCTGTGGGCTATCCAGACCATGTTCATTCAATTTAATGCAAAAATAATTCTCAGATAATAAAATTTCCCATTTTCTAGTTCTGCCTGCCCTGACTTCTGTTCAGAAGAGCTGTTTATGTTAATGAGCTCTGTTGGTAACGCCCTCCAAAAATCTGTTGACATTGACTCCGCCCTCCAAAGCCAGYGTTTACGTTAGCATGGCTAATAATAGCAGAAGCTCCGTTGTACAACCATATGAGACCCAGAGGCAGAGTCGGTCGCAGCTTCTTTCTTTTTTCCTCCCCCTCCTCTGCTCTGCGCTCACTGCATGCTGTTACCAGAGCAGGGAGCAGCAGCGGTCAAAATACCTCAGAAACTTGAACAAATAGGCTTTAACAAGGTTTTATTAAGCTAAAAAATAGAGGTACATGAGAAAACGTGTTCATAACGAACGAAAATAAACAATTAAATTGTGTCCATGCCAGTCTAGAACCCTGGTCTCCCACTCTCTGGTCCAACACTCTACCCATTGCCCTATTGGAGGCCTGTTGTGAAATGAGCTATTGCTCAACAACAACTGTGACGGCTTTTTATACCGAGGAGGTGGAGCTTCACCCGGGGGTTGCTAGGTAAGGGGCTGAACGCCGGTTCTAGTGGGTTGCTGTACAGCTTGTGACATCACAAAATGATGGAATTATACCCCTGGGTGCATTTTTTTGGTCCTAGGACTGTTTTTTAAAGAAGTACATACCCAAAGTTGAGTAAAAAAAACTTTAAAAAGTGAATTTTGCATAATAGGTCCCCATTTAAAAACAGAATAAATGCAAAAAAAAAAGACAAATTCACAGCATTTACTTTCTGAATGACGCTAACATGCTGTTATWTAAAATAGCACAAAGTTGTTGAAGTCATTTAAATGCATCAAAATCACTTAAAACAGTAAAAATAAAGTGTGATTACTGAATTAACTATTGAACAATAACTTGGCTGGTAAAACAATAGTAAGCAATCATAAACTACAAGTAGTTCTGTAAAGTCACATTATGTAATATCATCGCAATATGTAATAATGTAATGTAATAAAATTGGGCTTCAAAGGTAATAAAGCCACACTAAAACCACATTATCATATTCATCACTCCAAAAGAAAAAAAAAACACTTTGAGACAGTAATCCATAACTTTCCTACCATTGTAGAACATTTAATATGTGGAGTTAGTGGGTCCTCCATTGGCCACAGAAAGTACAAAATGCAGCTTTGCAGGGACCCTACTCCATGGCTGAACTGCTGCATCCCTACAACCATCCCACTCTCCCAAATCAGCTGCTCCTGATGGTCCTGAGGGGCCCTAAAGTTAGACTCAAACTCAGGTTCGAGCTTTTACTGCAGCAGGTCCTAAATCTTGGAAYGAGCTGCCCCTCTGTCTCTTGAAGGTCTCTTCTTCGTCTGTTTTGGTGAGTTGCCTTAGATGATAAAAAACTTCTTTAAKAACTCACCGCTCTGGCTGTCTATAACTTAAGATCAAAATCCACTTCAGCCCCCAAATTCCTCACCATCAGTTTGCTGTACTGGGCCGAAGAATCTACAGTAGAGCTACTAGGGAGGACCTAGCCGTGTCTCCAAAAACAATCAGTTCAGKTTTGGATTAATTAAATTAAAAAACTTGAGTACCATCCAGACCTTTACGTCCTTGAGATCCCAATGAAACCGATTTATTGAGTATGAATCTGACTTTTTCAGAGGAATGTAAATCTGACAGTCATCTGCATAACAATAGAATTAAATACCATGTTTTTAATATGGAACCGTGTGGGGAGAAGATAGGGCCTAAAACCGAGCCCTGTGGGACTCCACAAAAAAGAGGAGAAGAGGAGGATACTGAACCACCAAGACTAACACAGAACATTCAGTTAAGTAGGACTTGAACCTTTCAAAGTATTCCCAGGTTCTCATCCACTGCTCCAGACGAGACAGCAGAATGTGACGGTTCAATGTGTCAAAAGCAGTCATTAGATCTATAAGCACAAGGACAACAGTCATTAGATTCAGCAGCTAAAAGGATTTCATTAAAACATAAAAGAGCTGATTTGGTGCTGAGGAGAGTTTTAAAACCTCAAGAGTGCTTATGCTCCTCAAGAAAGAGAATAAACTGAYGGTGCTTCATCTTCTCCAGGGCTTTGGTGATAAAAGAAACTTTAGGCATTGGACTAAAATTAGCTACATTTTTAGGATTCAGTCCAGGTTTTAATAAGAAGTTGCACCACTGCCTGTTTAAAATGATCAAAGATCACACCAGAAGACAGATTACTGCTGTTGAGTTCTAATGCAAACGGTCTAGGKTAGGCAAAACCTCTTAAGATTTAGGTTTAGACTGTTTTGTTTTGAGAGGAGTAACAGTGTCCATAACAGTCTGGCAGGTCAAGTAAGACTAAAAGCTAAGCTTATTCTTGAATAGTCTGTGGTGTATCGGTTGAAAAATAAAAACAGGGCAAGTTGAAACTTCAACTTGAGCCACAAAATGAATACAATTGTCACTGATTTTCAGTCTCTTCAATAAAACTTGTCAGTGCTAAGAACCAATGTTCTCATATTTGTTGCCCTTCCTGTTCAGAGATGCTGATAATTCTGAGAATGTTGACGTTTCGGCGCGTTAGATGGATGGTGTTTTCCTTTCAGGCATCGGTGCAGGAGCAGGCTCGTCCATCTTTGGTTTCCTAACGAGAAGCACTCTGCCAGAGGAGCGAGCCGGTATCTTCGCAGCCGTCATGGCCTGTCGGCAAGCTGGCCTCCTTGTCGGTCAGTTTCTGCCTTTTACGTTCGCCACAAAGGAGAGGTGTCGCTCTCACCTCTCTGCACCTTGCCTCTGTGAAACATCAGACTGTGGAGGATTTCCAAGCTGTTTTCTTTGATGTGCAGTTTGATCTGCGAGGAGCAGAAGACATTCAATAAAATCACTAAGGTGTGAGGCTACTGCCTTCACACATCCTCCATTTATCTCATCTTTAAAGCTCTTCCTCTTGTCTCTCCAGGGCCGGCGTTCAACTTGTTCCTGCGGCTGTGTGATTTCAAACTGGGGCCCTTTGTTGTGAACAAGTATACGTCTCCTGGGGTAACTGCATCCAGACAATCAGTAATCTGAGCTTCTCTGAAAGGCTTACGAATACAAAAGCACGCTTCAGAAATTGTCGCTCTATATTCTACACTCACATGTATCCCACCATCCCCGCGCTTTGTTCCCAGAACAAGAGGAATAAAAAAAGTCAGCAGGTTTAGGCCTGTAATAACCTGTACCTGTCTGTTTTTATCCCATGATGCTTTAATGAAACACCTGTAGCAGCGTAGATGAAATTCAACACGTCTGCTTCCATTTTTGACACGGAGCGTCTCTCTTGATTGCTCCGATAATTACAGACATCTTTCTAAGGGTTCTATGTAGTGGAAAGCACGGTTTGGATTCAGTTTTTCCTCTCGCCCTCAGATCTTTATGTGCCTGCTGTGGGTGCTGCTTCAGTTTGTGGTCTTGGCTGCGTTTTGGGACACGCTGCCTSTAGGCTCAGAGGACGCCGTGATGATGGAAATGAAACTAGAGAAYGATGAAGAAGAGGCACCGCTGATGGGGTCTGATGAAGAGCAGGTGCACACCTACAGAGCCGTTGACTCTGAAGAACCGGGGATTTCTACCTCAACTAAGACGGAGCCCGTCCACGGAAACCAGAACCCGTTCAAGAACTTCAGCGTCAGCAGAGGTGAGCCTGCAGGTCTGACTGGATGTCAGCTGGTCTCCTGACGGTTTGTGGGACTCATGTAGGGAAAGGTGTCACAGCCGATGTGTTTGGATCTGGTCTATTGATTTTCTAGCAGTGGCACACACACACACACACACACACACACACACACACACACACACACACACACACACACNAGCTAATTGAATGGGGCACTGAGCAGAGTTACAACAAGGGATAACAAATAATTTCTTTTTTTCTTCTGCAGTTTGGCAATGCCTCCAGCAGATGGCGCTCTAGGCGACCACCCAGTTCGCCTATGCCATGAGCCGGCTCTGCATACAGACAGTGGTGGGCAGCACTAATCTAAAGATGTATTGCACTAACCCTAAAGCACTAACTCAAATATTTAGGTCCTCTAATTCTAAAGCAGTAATACACTGAAAAAATTAGCAAAAGCTAATTCTAAAGCACTAATATAACCCAGTTGACCTATAGAAAATTCTTCAAAATCAAAATGAGACAATRTTTACTGTGTGCAGAATATTGTCAGTATGTCACCTGGTGGATAAGTGACACACATATGAACAATGTCTGACAGCTTTCAGCTTTAACAATAATGTTGATCAGTAACATTTAAAGACCTCAGTTAGTGCTTCAAAATTTATCACATAAATTTAGCAAGTGCTAATCCACCAATGAATAAAAAAATTGCAAAATCCCTAAAGCACTAATCAGTAAATTACTTCCCCTATTAGTGTTGTAGTGCTTTAAGGAACTGTGCCCACCACTGCATACAGAGATCTATATAAGACTTTAAAAAAAGATGTTGTCAGTTTGTGCTCCAGCATTCTAAGTTTATAGCAGCAGAACTAAGGAATAAGTCAGGAAACCTAAGTCTAACTATAGGATTTATCAAAAAGGAAAGTCTTCAGTCTAATCTTAAAAGTAGACAGAGTGTCAGCCTCATGGACAGAAACTGGAAGTTGGTTCCACAAGAGAGGAGCTTGATAACTGAAAGCTCTGCCTCCCATTCTACTTTTAGAAACTCCAGGAACCACAAGTAAACCTGCAATCAGAGAGTGAAGTGCTCTGTTAGGAAAGTATGGAACAATAAGATGTTTATTTTTGATGGAGCTTGGTTGTTAAGAGCTTTGTATGTTAGGAGTAATATTTTAAATTATATTCTGAATTTGACAGGGAGCCAGTGGAGAGAAGCTAAAACTGGAGAAATATGATCTCTACTATTAAAAGGCCACCATCTGAAGCATCTGAACACTTTTCCTCCATGACTGTGCTATCTCTCTCTCTCCAGGAGTTTTTGGCGACTTGACTGCCTTTTTAGGTGCATCGAAGAGTCATATACAGCGGGTAAAATAAGTATTGAACACGTCAACATTTTTCTCAGTAAATATATTACTAGAGGTGCTAATG